TCAAAGAACTCTGGTTCTGCCAAATTAAATTAGATTAAACAGAATAAATGAGCTACTATAAAGTTTAAAGCAGCAAACCAGGTCACAGACATTCATAAATCTTAGGTGATCTTGAGAAATTAATCTGGACTCTTTTTAACTTTTTTTTTTCATTTGGAGAAGTCCATGTACATGTGGACAAAGGTGTGGACAAACTGGAGACTCCAACAGAGGGCAATGGAAGTTAGGGGTTTTGGGCACTGGACTTACAAAGAGAGGCTGAGGGAACTGGGCTTATTTAGTCTGGAGGAGAGAAGACTGAGGGGGGATTTAATACCAGCCTTCAACTCCCTAAAGGATGGTTACGAAGAAAATGGAGTTAGACTGTTCTCAATGTTGGTGAATGACAGAACAAGAAGCAATGGTCTCAGCAAGGGAAGTTTAGGTTAGATATTAGGAAAAACTTTTCTCACAGCGAGGGTAGTAAAACACTGGAACAGGCTACCCAGAGAGGTGGTGGAATCTCCATCCTTGGAGGTTTTTAAGACCAGGCTAAGCAAAGCCTTTGCTGGGATGATATAGTTGGGGATGGTCCTTCTTTGAGCAGTGGGTTGGACTAGATGACCTCCTGAGGTCCCTACCAACCCTAAATTTCTATGATTCCATATTGTTGTACAGCTATTTTCCAGTGGAGACAAAACCCAGGAACATCAAACTATAACAAAATGAGCCCTGTGGATTCACAAAACACCTGAGAAAGGCTTGGGAGATGTCAAGTGTCACAGAAAGAAAAGATTTTAGTGGATGTCATAGTTCTCACCTATGTGTCTATGTTTTTGGATACTTAGCCAAGCTGAACCTGGCAAATTTCCCTAATACTGTAAAAAAACATAGCACAATAATTTAATATGTACTTCTGAACATTTACCCTAAAATGACATTGTGTGTCTATCTTTATTGCTCCTCAGTCATTTCCATATAAAAAGTGATCGCCAGTAAAGGTCTCACCGGTAATAAAGGTTTTGAAGTGCAAATGAGGAAATCAGCTACAGTTACATAACTGAACCATTGGATCACATTTGGTGATTCAGGCAATGCACCAGGAAGGAATGGGATGGTGGTGTTTTTAACTCCCTTTTATACCTATCCCAATTTTGACCCTAGGTCTCAGCATAATTTACAGCAGGCCCCAGGGTTGGTTTACCTTATTATGACTCTGAATAGTCCCTATGGACTGCTCCTTTGACTCCAATGTCTTGAGCAGTGATTCTCAACCAGGGAGCCACAGCATCCTGGGGTGCCTTGCTATCTTTTCAAGAGTACAGTAGGGTGCCACACAGTGTTAGCACTATTATGTGTGCAAACATGACTCACAAGATAAACCTAGAGATTTCAAATAGGAATCCATAGTGTCAGAAACATTCTGACTTCTTGTGGTCATTCTGAGTCCTTTGCAATAGAAGAATTGCTCTATAATTTTTTCAGTAGTCAAAAAATGGGTGAAAACTAAGGGGTAGAATTTTCTGAGGGGTGCCTCAAGTCTAATGAGGGGTGCCTTGAGTCTAAAAAGGATGAGAACCATTCTTCTAGAGTGTTCGGCACTCCAATTGCAGCCCTTCCATTACCAAACATACTCACTACCATGCTGTGTCTGCTACAGATATGCCCACCCTTTGCAGCTACCATGGGATGACAAAAATATTTTATTGTCACCTTCTGTCACCCAGAGAGCTTTGCAATGGTGGAGTTCTTCGGGGAGGGAATCCAGATATTTTCAAGAGTCTTTGAGTTAAATCCTAGTTTACGTTAAGTGCTGACATAGCAGTTACCCAGTTGCATGACTGCCATTTTTGGCACTTACTCACAGCTTGAGATGTTGTTCTGGGGTCAGTGTGGACATACAGGTGTCTGCACACCCACTGAGCATGTTCAGTAGGACTTTGCTGTGGCTGGAGAGGTACCCAGTGCTGTATGTTCACCTAGTTATGTACATACAAATGGGACAAGTCTTGAAACAGTAGCTGCACAAAATCCCCCAAGACTAGCAGGGTTTAGATGGAGAAGGAACCTCCAGCTAAAAGGAAACTTCCAGGTTTTAGCTCAATAACTTAATGGAAGGGGACCTTACCTAGGAAGTTGGTGACCTGTACTCTAGGCCCCTCTAATCCAGAGGCAGCTTGGATTTATTTCCCAGCACACTGCTGTGCTTACCACACCATAGGCTAAGCATTACCCAGTCCCCTCTCAAAGCTGCCCTAGTGCCCCTTGCATTTAAAAGTCACTGGAGGAAGTTCCTGTCCCATTGGGAGCAAGGACCTGATGAGAACCTAGGGTCCCTTCTCATATTGAGCATTAAGCCACATGCCACACATGCTCTGGCTTTTTTCCTTCCTTCTGGCTTCACATATTTCCCTCTGTCGGCTTCAAAAGGAGGGTTGGAGAGGCCTGGATAATACTTAACCTGCAGCTTGATGGTTGGAGCGCTACACTGGAAAGTTGGAAAGATGTATCTTTTTAAACCCTCTGTGTGGGGACAGTCTAGAACCTGGGTCTCTTACTTTGTGTGTGACTGACCTACCACGAGGCTATTGGGCCAACATATGCAAGGTCCCTTCTCCCCATCCTTCCCTCAGGGAACTCAGGGCAATTTGATTTTGCCAGAGGGTGAAATATAATCTGAAACTGTGCATAAGTGCCATTCAGACATGTTCAGTGAAATAAGCTGCTGCCGTTTGTGTCTCAGAGACACTGCTTAGGAACAGAATGACCGAAGAAAGGCCACATGCTTTCTGATATAATCTTTGTCCCTCCTTTGTAACTCTGCTGTCCCACAGGAAAAAAAATATTTACTGAGTCTGCTTCATTCTCTTGCAGGAGCCTCTAGTATTCTTTACTTATATGCTCATCATTCCATATGTTCGACTCTCTCCTCAAGTGAGCAGGTCTGGCTTCAGCAGACAGGGGGTGAGATTTCAGACATCTGCCTCAGGAGAGTCCCTTCACAAAAGCTGACATCTACCTCTCTGCAGAGGGTTGGAAGGCATTCTCAGTATCAATTTTTATTAACTGCATGAATTGCTAGTGTTCAGAGGCTGTAGGCAAAACTGGGCCCCTGCTGTACAAAGTAGTGAAAAACAACCCCCATTCCTCTAAGCTTGCAATCTAAACAAATCAGTCCAAGGAGGACATCAAGGTAAAGAGGAAGGAAGTGACTTATCCATGGATACAAAAAAGGTCAGTTTCAGAACTGGAAATAGAACTTAGTTCCTCAAGGCCCAGTCAATTGCCCTATCTTTTCAATTACCCTACCTTCCACTTTGAGGTCTCAGGGCTGACTTCAGTAATGTATGGGTCTCATTCTGCCACTCCACTTAGAAGTGAAAAGCACCTAGACAGAGGAGGAACATCTGCTTCCTCCACCTATCAGTCCCCTGAGCAAGTCACTCCTGCCAGAATGAACTGCTGAGCCAAGAAGCACTTTATCTTTTACGCAAATGCAGATTTAAGGTTTTTTCCAGCTTTGCTCAGGACACTCATTAAAAGGCAAGGAAGTGAGCATACATGAAATCACCCCTTCCGTACAGGCAGACAGATGGAGAGAAATTCCAGTCTGTTTCCACTCTTTTGTCTTCAGGGCATTTTTGGAATTTCCTTCAGGAAGTGAAAGGTTGTGACCTAAAGCCTTCCTCAGTTAGCAGGCTCCAGTTTCCCACAGTAAACCTTTCCCAGAAGTGACACATAGTGTAACAAGGTGAGCTTTATCTATATGCCCCAACTGCATCCTGTATGAGCTCAATGAAACTAAAGTGTTACCTAGAGAGAATGGGCGTGACAAGGGAAATGGAAGAGTCAAGCCTTGGAAGAAATACACCAAATACTAAAATAAAGCTAGGGAGGTTGATAGAGCTACATTGATTTATAACATTCAAGGCTCTGCTTTTATTATATAAATATAAACCTTCCTGAAGTATGTAACAAGCTAACAGCAACATGCACGCAACTACCTTTTAAAAAAGTTTTCTTTGTATTTTAACATAAAAAAATAATAAAGACATGGTTGTTTAAAATACTTTCAATTTCTAATTCATAAGGTCCTGAATTACATGGCATTTTACTTATTCCACTCTGGAAAGTAATAGAGTTCTCAAGTGTCCAGTTTATCTCCTGTTTCTTCTTTTCCATCGTGTCTCAGGAAAGTTTCTTGCCTTGCTGCATAGACTGAAGGAGCAAATCTATTTAGTCAATTTATTTTAATAAAAAGTTCCCTCTCAAATCATGGACTTCCACCCATTTTGCACTTTCCATTGGCCTATAAATAAAGGTGTCATTATGGATCTGTGTCCTTAATTGATTTGCTGGATCATGCAAACTCAGCATAATCCAATCCCTACTTAAATTAAGGAGTCCTTCCCCTAACTTCTGTGAGCAGTGGTAATGCCCCAGATCTTAACAACAGCACATACAAATATTATGATAGCAGCATCTTTAAAAAAAAAGAAAAGAAAAATCAGTTTATTAATATTTATAAGTCAATAAAGCCATGTGCAAATTGAACAATAAAAGTCAGAAACATTTTAAATACTATTTTTAAAACAAGAAAAAAATCAGTTTAATTGCACTGAAAATCATACTACAAAGGCAGCAATTTTTTTACAAAACAACTCCTCTAGGAATCACCAATAGCTGTACATTAATCAATTGTTCTCAGCTATCCCAGATACGCTAATTTTGTTATCATAATGCTCTATGTGCATGAAGACTCCTGCATCTTATTAACTCACTTACATTGTACACATTCAACCCCATTAGCACAGGTTAGAAAATGCAGAATAGAAACGATGTTGTAAAACAAATACATTCAATGTAATGCAAGGACTGACTGATGTGGATTGAAAAATTGCAAACACCTTTGCTCAAATTCTAAACATTCTGAAACTTAAAAACACCAGCATAAGTGCCAAAACGTGTATTGCATTTTGTAGGG